CCCTGCTAGCCCAGCCCTGCCCCCCCGGCCCTGCCGGTGCCCCCCACTCCCGACCCACAGCCCCCTGCTAGCCGAGCCCTGCCCCCCCAGCCCTGCCCGTGCCCCTCACTCCCGACCCACGGCCCCCTGCTACCCCAGCCCTGCCCGCCCCGTCTGCCGGTGCCCCCCACTCCCGACCCACGACCCCCTGCTAGCCCAGCCCTGCCCCTCCATCTGCCGGTGCCCCCCACTCCCGACCCACAGCCCCCTGCTAGCCCCCAGCCCTGCCCCCACCAGCCCTGCCGGTGCCCCCCACTCCCGACCCACGCCCCCTGCTAGCCCAGCCCTGCCCCCCCAGCACTGCCGGTGCCCCCCACTCCCGACCCACAGCCCCCTGCCAGCCCAGCCCTGCCCCCCCAGCTCTGCTGGTGCCCCCCACTCCCGACCCACAGCCCCCTGCCAGCCCAGCCCCGCCGGTGCCCCCCACTCCCGACCCACAGCCCCTGCTAGCCCCCAGCCCTGCCCCCCCAGCCCTGCCCGTGCCCCCCCACTCCCGACCCACAGCCCCTGCTAGCCCAGCCCTGCCCCCCCCGTCTGCCGGTGCCCCCCACTCCCGACCTGCAGCCCCCTGCCAGCCCAGCCCCGCCGGTGCCCCCCACTCCCGACCCACAGCCCCCTGCTAGCCCCCAGCTCTGCCCCCCCCGCCGGTGCCCCCCACTCCCGACCCACAGCCTCTGCTAGCCCAGCCCTGCCCCCCAGCCCTGCCGGTGCCCCCCCACGCCCGACCCACAGCCCCCTGCTAGCCCAGCCCTGCCCGTGCCCCCCACTCCCGACCCACGGCCCCCTGCTAGCCCAGCCCTGCCCCCCCCAGCCCTGCCGGTGCCCCCCACTCCCGACCCACAGCTCCTGCCAGCCCAGCCCTGCCCCCCCAGCTCTGCCGGTGCCCCCCCACTCCCGACCCACGGCCCCTGCTAGCCCCCCAGCCCTGCCCCCCCCAGCCCTGCCGGTGCCCCCCACTCCCGACCCACGGCTCCTGCCAGCCCAGCCCTGCCCCCCCAGCTCTGCCGGTGCCCCCCACTCCCGACCCACGGCCCCTGCTAGCCCCCAGCCCTGCCCCCCCCAGCCCTGCCGGTGCCCCCCACTCCCTACCCACGGCCCCCTGCTAGCCCAGCCCTGCCCCGCCCAGCCGTGCCGGTGCCCCCCACTCCCGACCCACGGCCCCCTGCTAGCCCAGCCCAGCCCCCTCCAGCCCTGCCGGTGCCCCCCACTCCCGACCCACGGCCCCCTGCTAGCCCAACCCTGCCCCGCCCAGCCCTGCCGGTGCCCCCCACTCCCGACCCACGGCCCCCTGCTAGCCCAGCCCTGCCCCGCCCAGCCCTGCCGGTGCCCCCCACTCCCGACCCACGGCCCCCTGCTAGCCCAGCCCTGCCCCCCCCAGCCCTGCCGGTGCCCCCCACGCCCGACCCACAGCCCCCTGCTAGCCCAGCCCAGCCCCCTCCAGCCCTGCCGGTGCCCCCCCACTCCCGACCCACGGCCCCCTGCTAGCCCAACCCTGCCCCCCCGTCTGCCGGTGCCCCCCACTCCCAACCCACAGCCCCCTGCTAGCCCCCAGCCCTGCCCCCCAGCCCTGCCTGTGCCCCTCACTCCCGACCCACAGCCCCCTGCTAGCCCAGCCCTGCCGGTGCCCCTCACTCCCGACCCACAACCCCTGCTAGCCCAGCCCTGCCCCCCCCAGCCCTGCCGGTGCCCCCCACTCCTGACCCACAACCCCTGCTAGCCCCCAGCCCTGCCCCCCCAGCACTGCCGGTGCCCCCCACTCCTGACCCACAACCCCTGCTAGCCCCCAGCCCTGCCCCCCCAGCTCTGCCGGTGCCCCCCACTCCCGACCCATGGCCCCCTGCTAGCCCCCAGCCCTGCCCCCCCCCAGCCCTGCCGGTGCCCCCCCACTCCCGACCCACAACCCCTGCTAGCCCCCAGCCCTGCCCCCCCCAGCCCTGCCGGTGCCCCTCACTCCCGACCCACGGCCCCCTGCTAGCCCAGCCCTGCCCTTCCCGCCTGCCGGTGCCCCCCACTCCCGACCCACGGCCCCCTGCTAGCCCAGCCCTGCCCCCCCCGTCTGCCGGTGCCCCCCACTCCCGACCCACAGCCCCTGCCAGCCCAGCCCTGCCCCCCAGCTCTGCCGGTGCCCCCCACTCCCGACCCACAGCCCCTGCTAGCCCCCAGCCCTGCCCCCCAGCCCTGCCCGTGCCCCTCACTCCCGACCCCCAGCCCCTGCCAGCCCAGCCCTGCCCCCCCAGCTCTGCCGGTGCCCCTCACTCCCGACCCGCAGCCCCTGCCAGCCCAGCCCTGGGCTCCCCTGACCCCGCAGCTATCAGGAATCAGGGCCTGTAGCAGGGGGAGTCTCGGGGCCACTGGCCTGCGGGAGGGTGTATAATGGCCAGGCTGGCTGAGGTCAGTGCGGTTGGGGGTTCCTGTGGCGAGGGAAGCCGGTGCAGGGAGCTGCCGTGTTGTGGGGCTGGAAACAGAAGCCTGGAGGAACGTGGGGCCGAGGGCCCCCGGAGAGGCGCTTTCCTGGCCACGGAGAAGGCTCCCAGCCAGGGCGGGAGCAGGGCAGCTTCCTGTCGTGGCTTCTGTGCCACGACCAGCCCAGCGTGTCCGCGGAGACGGGATTTCTCAAGTCTCACTCTGCAGGTCAGAGCAGGGCGAGTCCCCAGCAGTCTAGGGCCACTGACACACGGGCCGTCCCAGGGCAGCGTCCGTCCCCATCCGCGTCCAGCAGAGACACGGGCGGGAAGGGGCCGAACGAGCTGCCGAACGGGTGGTGGGTGGCTGGGGAAGGCCAGGCCGGACAAGCCCCGGGACTGAGGAGCAGCGCTGGGTTCACCGTTCGGCCTCAGGGACGCGGCTGGGAGAAGCTCGACTCCGTCCGTGCTCAGAGGTCGTGAATGGCGTGTGGTGCCTTCACCCTGCCAGGGGCCGCGGGGGCTGCAGGGGGCTGGGGGGCTGCAGGGAGCCGGGGGGCTGCAGGGAGCCGGGGGGCTGCAGGGAGCCATGGGGATGCCCAGTGGGGAGAGATGGGACCCAAACGCGGCTGCCTCCCCGGCCCCGAGCGAGGGTTGCCAGGTGGGGGGGTTTCGACCAGAACGCCTGGGCGAAAAGGGAGCCTGGCGGCTCTGGTTGGCTCTGCGCAGAGCCCCCTGGCTGCACCTCTGCCTAGGGGCTGGATGTGCCGGCTGATCTGGGGGGCAGCGCGGAGCCGGGGCAGGCAGGGAGCCTGGATTAGCCCCAGGGCCACGCTGTGCCACTGACTGGGAGCTGCCCGGATGGAGCCCCCACCCTGAACCTCCTGCCCCAGATCAGACCCCCTCCCACACCCTAACTTCCTTCCAGAGCCCACACACCAACCCCTGCCCTAGTCCAGAGAAAGCGACTGAGGCCGGGAAGCTGGAGCGGGTGGGGGTGGGGCCTCAGAGAAGGGGCGGGGTCTCAGGAAAGGGGGCGGGGCAAGGGTGTGAGGTTTTGCGCACTTAGAAAGTTGCCGACATCAAGGACGCGGCCCTCGACGTGACCAGGACGTCGGGGCGCAAATTCCTGTTTGTTCCCCATGCCCCAGCGGGCCGGGAGCTGCGGTCCAGCGTCGCAGGGGGAGCGTGGTGGGAAATGTAGAGGCCTGAAAGGAGCCATGTTTTGCCACTGCCCATAGCGAGGAAATGGGGGCCCCGGACCTGCAGGGGAATGGGGGAGAATTTAATTCCCAAATCCTCCCCGGTGCTCAGCAGGGGACCTGGCGCTGCCCTGAGGGCCACTGGGAAGGTCACCAGCGGATCCAAGCGTTTGCCCGAGGATGGATCCTGCCTGGGACCAGCATCGCCTCCCTTCCAGGTAACCCGGCCCTGAGACCCCTGCTAGCCCAGCCCTGCCCCCCCAGCCCTGCCGGCGCCCCTCACTCCCGACCCCCAGCCCCTGCTAGCCCCCAGCCCTGCCCCCCCCAGCCATGCCGGTGCCCCTCACTCCCGACCCGCAGCCCCCTGCTAGCCCAGCCCTGCCCCCCCAGCCCTGCCGGTGCCCCTCACTCCCGACCCCCAGCCCCTGCTAGCCCAGCCCTGCCCCCCCAGCCATGCCGGTGCCCCTCACTCCCAACCCGCAGCCCCCTGCTAGCCCAGCCCTGCCCCCCCAGCCATGCCGGTGCCCCTCACTCCCGACCCGCAGCCCCCTGCTAGCCCAGCCCTGCCCCCCCCAGCCCTGCTGGTGCCCCTCACTCCCGACCCCCAGCCCCTGCCCCCCCCCCAGCCCTGCCGGTGCCCCTCACTCCCGACCCGCAGCCCCTGCTAGCCCAGCCCTGCCCCCCAGCCCTGCTGGTGCCCCTCACTCCCGACCCCCAGCCCCTGCTAGCCCCCAGCCCTGCCGGTGCCCCTCACTCCCGACCCGCAGCCCCCTGCTAGCCCAGCCCTGCCCCCCAGCCCTGCTGGTGCCCCTCACTCCCGACCCCCAGCCCCTGCCCCCCCCCCAGCCCTGCCGGTGCCCCTCACTCCCGACCCGCAGCCCCCTGCTAGCCCAGCCCTGCCCCCCCAGCCCTGCTGGTGCCCCTCACTCCCGACCCCCAGCCCCTGCTAGCCCCCAGCCCTGCCGGTGCCCCTCACTCCCGACCCGCAGCCCCCTGCTAGCCCAGCCCTGCCCCCCCAGCCCTGCTGGTGCCCCTCACTCCCGACCCCCAGCCCCTGCTAGCCCCCAGCCCTGCCGGTGCCCCTCACTCTCGACCCGCTGCCCCTGCTAGCCCAGCCCTGCCCCCCCAGCCCTGCCGGCGCCCCTCACTCCCGACCCCCAGCCCCTGCTAGCCCCCAGCCCTGCCCCCCCAGCTCTGCCGGCGCCCCTCACTCCCGACCCGTAGCCCCTGCCCCCCCCAGCTCTGCCAGCACCCCTCACTCCTGATCCGCAGCCCCTGCCAGCCCCCAGCCCTGCCCCCCCAGCCCTGCCAGCGCCCCTCACTCCCGACCCCCAGCCCCCCATGTCAAGGCAGAGTCTGTGTCTTTAAATCTTTTATTGGGCGGTTCACAGGTCGGCCCGGAGGTGCACATTGGCCATGCAGGTTGAGGAGGGGAGGGGGCCTCCGAGCAGCCCCCCCGCTTGTTGGTGCAGCTTCCTGCTGAGGCTTCGTGGGCTGCTGGGGGAGCCCTGACATGGGGCGCGGGTGGGATTGAGGGGAGGTGGGGCTGGGGTAGGACTTGGGGGACAGTCGGGGGAAGCAGCTGTAGGATTCAGCTAATATATATGGGGAGGGCTGGGGGGCTTCAGGAGGGAACACTGGGGGGTTGAAACGGTATTAGGGAAGTTTGGGGTCAGTATGGAGAGGGGTTGGGGCTGGGAGTTGGACAGCGTGGGGAGGGGTTGGGGATCAGTGTGGGGAGGGGTTGGGGGCTGGGAGTTGGGGGATAGCGTGGGGTGGGGTTGGGGGTCAGTATGGGGAGGGGTTGGGGCTGGGAGTTGGACAGCATGGGGAGGGGTTGGGGGTCAGTATGGAGAGGGGTTGGGGGGCAGCGCAGGGAGGGGTTGGGGCTGGGAGTTGGACAGCGTGGGGAGGGGTTGGGGGTCAGTATGGAGAGGGGTTGGGGCTGGGAGTTGGGGGTCAGTATGGGGAGGGGTTGGGGCTGGGAGTTGGACAGCGTGGGGAGGGGTTGGGGGTCAGTGTGGGGTGGGGTTGGGGGGCAGCGGAGGGAGGGGTTGGGACTGGGAGTTGGACAGCGTGGGGAGGGGTTGGGGGTCAGTGTGGGGTGGGGTTGGGGGGCAGCGGAGGGAGGGGTTGGGACTGGGAGTTGGACAGCGTGGGGAGGGGTTGGGGGTCGGTGTGGGGCGGGGTGGGGGGCAGCGCGGGGCTCACGGGCAGCGACTCGGGGTGCTACGTACACAATCTAGATATTTGTCTATTTCTCACACATCTCTGACGTGACCCTTATATACAGATATGGGCGGGGGGGGGGTGTGTGACACACACACACACACACACACACACACACCGTGGGCTGGGGGGGTGGGGTCTCAGATTGCACAGCCCGGTTAAACCCCCCTTTCCCCGTGGCCGGGGGTCCGGGCGGGGGGCGGAGGGGGGCTGGGGAGGAGCCTGGGGGAGGGGTGTGGGGTTGACAGGGGGGCCGCCCCCTCACCGCTCGGAGCAGCGGCGGGGGGCTGAGGCGGGGGGGTTGGTGGGGGGCCCGTCGGGGGCCGCCCCCTCACCGCTCGGAGCAGCGGCCGGGGGCTGAGGTGGGGGGGTTGGTGGGGGGCCGCCCCCTCACCGCTCGGAGCAGCGGCGGGGGGCTGAGGCGGGGGGGTTGATGGGGGGCCGTCGGGGGGCCGCCCCCTCACCGCTCGGAGCAGCGGTCCTGCCGGCTGTAGTGGTCGAACTGGCTCTTCCAGTGGCCCATGTACGCACTCCAGCGGTGAAATTCCAGTCTCCATTGACGCTCGGCCTCCTCGATGTTATCTGCGGAGGGGTGGGGGGTGGGGGGGGGAGATGGGGGCCGTTAGCGTCCTCCAGAGCTGGGCCCAGAGGCCCCCTGCCCCTCTCCCGGAGCCGCCAACGCCCCCCCCCACCCCCCGTCTCCAGGAGAGGGTCCCCAGCGATCGGCAGCCGGCCTCCGTCGGGGGCGTGGGGCGGGGTTTGCACCCACGCTGATTTCTGCTCCCCGCCGAGTCCGGCACGGCCGAGTCCCCGCCCCGGGCCGCCCGGCAGGGACGTCCATGTTTCATGCTCGTATGGCACCTTGCGCCTCCGGCTGGACCGAGCCGCGTCTCCCGGGCTCCGGCTTTGCCCGCGGCGGCGGGAGCCTGTCCCCGAGCCGGCGAGTCCTTGCCCCTGGCCCGGGGGGCGGGGCGGGGCGGGGGGCTGGGGGGGCGCTTCTGGCCGACGCGCCTCGCTGCGTCTTCGCAGCCAGGGGGTCTTGGTTTCCGGAGGCGGCCAGTCGCTCCCGGCCCTGCTCCGGCACCGCGGCGAGGGCTGAATCTCTCTTCAGCTGGGGGTCGCCGTGCGGTTTGGAGCTGTCCGCCCGACCCCCAGGGCCTTGGCTGCTCCGCTCTGTCGCCACCCACCTGTCTCCGGGGCGGAAAGCGGGCGCCGGCCAGCACCGGCCCCCCCGTTGCGGTGACCCCCGTGGCTGTCGGCAGGTGCCGGGGAGCGACGTGGAAGCTAACCGGGGCCACGTCGCGGAGACCCTGCGTGTCCTGGACCGGCCGTGGGGCCCGTGGACGCGCCCCAGACGTGATCCTCATCTGGGGCCGTGCCGCCCGGCCAGGTAGGGCTGAGCGGGGCCCACAGGAGGGTGTTTGACACCCAGTGGCTGAACGGGTTCCCTCCCCGGCTGGGGGGTGAGAGCAGGGGGGACTGGGAGCCAGGACGCCTGGGTTCTCTCCCCGGCTCTGGGAGGGGAGTGGGGGCTGGGGGGTTAGAGCAGGGGGGGCTGGGAGCCAGGACGCCTGGGTTCTCTCCCCGGTTCTGGGAAAGGAGTGGGGGCTGGTGGGTTAGATGGGGCAGTGCCCAGGTGTTGATGTGTGGGTGGGGGTTCCCACATGTGGGGTAGTGTCTGGGGGGGGCACAGCCAAGCAACCCCTCCCCCTCATCTCGCATCTGCAAAGCAGCGTTCCCCTCAGGACCCAGTCCCCCCACCCCAAACCTTGTTCCCTGTAAACCCCCCTCCACTGGGGGAGGGGCCCCTATCTCCACCCCCTGAGTTCTCCCTGCCCCCCATCTCAGAGCCCCTCCCCCCATACCAGATCACCCCCTTTATACTGAGAGCCCCTCCCCCCCACCACTCTGTGTCCCCTCTTCACCCCTCCACCTCACTGACCCTTCTCTTCACCTCGGGGCCCTCCCCCCCATAGGGGGGCCCACTCCACCCTCCCATGTGCCCCATCTCTCGCCCTCCAGCTCCCCAACACACCCTGCCCCACTCCCCACACTCACTTTATTGCGGGGGGGGGAGTGAATCGTCAAAGACATGAAGACGACATGCAAAAAGAAACACTAAAAAAATGTCTTTTATAAGTGGCCAGAAACCCCCCAGCCGGGGCCGCCGGCCAGGCTCAGGGGGGTTGGGCGGGTGACAACCTGCCCCCCCCACCCCCGCGGGGTGTCGGGGTGCCAGAGATCAGGAACACCAGAGTGAGCCGGGCGGGGACATGTACCCCGTGGGTCCCATCCCCACCGCCGGCCGGCGCGCGTCAGACCCGCGTGGCAGGTCTCGGAGCTGGCCCGCTGCGGCAGCCCCCCCCCGAGGGCCCTCGTGCGGGCACGTGGGTGCCGTGATTGTGCCGTGGGGGTGTGGGCGGGCATGCAGGGGCTTGGCGACGTCCAGGTGCCGGGTGACGGCTGTGTCGTGTGCACAGGGAGGGCACCGTGTGTCCCTGTGCAGTGAGTGGGCAGTGAGGGTGCAGTGTATCCCTGTGCAGTGAGTGGGCAGTGAGGGCGCCGTGTGTCCCTGTGCAGTGGGTGGGCAGTGAGGGCGCCGTGTGTCCCTGTGCAGTGAGTGGGCAGTGAGGGCGCCGTGTATCCCTGTGCAGTGAGGGCGCCGTGTTCCCTGTGCAGTGGCTGGGCGTGAGGGCACCGTGTGTCCCTGTGCAGTGGGTGGGCAGTGAGGGCGCCTGTGTGTCCCTGTGCAGTGAGTGGGCAGTGAGGGTGCAGTGTATCCCTGTGCAGTGGGTGGGCAGTGAGGGGCGTGTGTCCCTGTGCAGTGAGTGGGCAGTAAGGGCGCCGTGTGTCCCTGTGCAGTGGCTGGGCAGTAAGGGCGCCGTGTGTCCCTGTGCAGAGAGTGGGCAGTGAGGGCGCCGTGTGTCCCTGTGCAGTGGTTGGGCAGTGAGGGGGCAGTGTGTCCCTGTGCAGTGAGTGGGCAGTAAGGGCGCCGTGTGTCCCTGTGCAGTGAGTGGGCAGTGAGGGCGCCGTGTGTCCCTGTGCAGTGAATGGGCAGTGAGGGCACCGTGTGTCCCTGTGCAGTGGATGGGCAGTGAGGGTGCCGTGGGTGTGTGCGCGTGCCTGCCTGGGTACACACAGTGTAGCGCATCTCTGTGCAGTGCAGTGCGTGTGAAGTACACACGTGCAGTGCCCATACAGTGCGCCCTATTCCTGCAATCAGTGTGCAGTGTCCAGGGGTCCGTGAGCAGTGTCCACCTGCCGTGTGTCAGTGGGCTGTGCGCATAGCATGCCGTGAGCACAGTGTGGGTGTGGAGTGAGTGTGCAGTGCATGGCAGTGTGCGGCTGCAGAGTGCGTGTGCGTGCGTGCGTGCATGAGCAGTGTGCGTATATGCAGTGCGCGCGTGCAGTGTGTGTGTGGCGTGTTCAGTGTGCGTGCAGTGAGTGTGTGCAGTGAGTGTGCAGTGTGTGTGCGGTATGTTCCGTGTGCGTATATGCAGTGTGCGCGTGCAGTGAGTGTGTGGTGTGTTCAGTGTGCGTGCAGTGAGTGTGTGCAGTGCGTGTGCAGTGCGTGTGTGGTATGTTCCATGTGCGTATATGCAGTGTGTGCGTGCAGTGTGTGCAGTGCGTGTGCAGTGTGTGTGCGGTATGTTCCATGTGCATATATGCAGTGTGTGCGTGCAGTGTGTGTGTGGTATGTTCCGTGTGTGTATGCAGTGTGCACGCGTGCAGTGAGTGTGTGGTGTGTTCAGTGTGCGTGCAGTGAGTGTGTGCAGTGTGTGTGCAGTGTGTGTGCGGTATGTTCCATGTGCTATATGCAGTGTGTGCGTGCAGTGTGTGTGTGGTATGTTCCGTGTGTGTATATGCAGTGTGCACGCGTGCAGTGCGTGTGTGGTGTGTTCAGTGTGCATGCAGTGAGTGTGTGCAGTGCGTGTGCGGTATGTTCCGTGTGTGTATATGCAGTGTGTGCATGCAGTGCGTGTGTGGTGTGTTCAGTGTGCGTGCAGTGAGTGTGTGCAGTGCGTGTGCAGTGTGTGTGCGGTATGTTCCATGTGCATATATGCAGTGTGTGCGTGCAGTGCGTGTGCGGTATGTTCCGTGTGCGTATATGCAGTGTGCGCGCGTGCAGTGAGTGCGTGGTGTGTTCAGTGTGCGTGCAGTGAGTGTGTGCAGTGCGTGTGCAGTGTGTGTGTGGTATGTTCCGTGTGCGTATATGCAGTGTGCGCGCGTGCAGTGAGTGTGTGGTGTGTTCAGTGTGCGTGCAGTGAGTGTGTGCAGTGCGTGTGCGGTATGTTCCGTGTGCGTATATGCAGTGTGCACGTGTGCAGTGAGTGTGTGGTGTGTTCAGTGTGCGTGCAGTGAGTGTGCGCAGTGTGTGTGCAGTGCATGTGCGGTATGTTTCATGTGCGTATATGCAGTGTGTGCGTGCAGTGTGTGTGTGGTATGTTCCGTGTGCGTATATGCAGTGCGCGCGCGTGCAGTGAGTGCGTGGTGTGTTCAGTGTGCGTGCAGTGAGTGTGTGCAGTGCGTGTGTGTGGTATGTTCCGTGTGCGTATATGCAGTGTGTGTGCGTGCAGTGCGTGTGTGGTGTGTGCAGTGCGTGTGCAGCATGTGTGTATTCGCTGTGTGCGTATGCGTGCGCAGTGTATGCAGTGTGCGTGCAACGCAGGTGCTGGGTCTCAGGTGTGCGGCGGGTCGGCGCAGCTCGCGCCTCGTGTCGACGTGTGCACAGAAGTGCGGACGTGCTGCGGTTGGGCAGCGAGGCTCCGCCCTCTCCCTGCCGCCCCACCCCCCACCCCCACCGCTGCTGCCGAGGGCCCCGGGGCGGGGGGGCCGGCAGCAGCCTCGGAGCCGCGGAGCCGCCGTCGCTCTGGGCCACGGCCGGAGCATTAAAATCCTGTCTAGGAAATGCCCCCGCTGCTCCCAGGGCGGGGCGCTGTCCCCCCGGCCCCGGCTGGGTGCCCCCTAGTGGCCCATTGAGGGAGCTCCGGCTGGGTGCCCCCCTAGTGGCCCGTTGAGGGAGCTCCGGCTGGGTGCCCCCTAGTGGCCCGTTGAGGGAGCTCCGGCTGGGTGCCCCCCTAGTGGCCCGTTGAGGGAGCTCGGCTGGGTGCCCCTTAGTGGCCCGTTCAGGGAGCTCCGGCTGGGTGCCCCCTAGTGGCCCGTTCAGGGGTCCGGCTGGGTGCCCCTAGTGGCCTGTTGAGGGAGCTCCGGCTGGGTGCCCCCTAGTGGCCCGTTGAGGAGCTCCGGCTGGGTGCCCCCTAGTGGCCCGTTCAGGGAGCTCCGGCTGGGTGCCCCTCTAGTGGCCCGTTGAGGGAGCTCCGGCTGGGTGCCCCCCTAGTGGCCCGTTGAGGGAGCTCCGGCTGGGTGCCCCCTAGTGGCCCGTTGAGGGAGCTCCGGCTGGGTGCCCCTCTAGTGGCCCGTTGAGGGAGCTCCGGCTGGGTGCCCCCTAGTGGCCCGTTCAGGGAGCTCCGGCTGGGTGCCCCCTAGTGGCCCGTTGAGGGAGCTCCGGCTGGGTGCCCCTTAGTGGCCCGTTCAGGGAGCTCCGGCTGGGTGCCCCCAGTGGCCCGTTCAGGGAGCTCCGGCTGGGTGCCCCCAGTGGCCCGTTGAGGGAGCTCCGGCTGGGTGCCCCCTAGTGGCCCGTTGAGGAGCTCCGGCTGGGTGCCCCCTAGTGGCCCGTTGAGGGAGCTCCGGCTGGGTGCCCCCTAGTGGCCCGTTGAGGGAGCTCCGGCTGGGTGCCCCCCTAGTGGCCCGTTGAGGGAGCTCCGGCTGGGTGCCCCCTAGTGGCCCGTTGAGGGAGCTCCGGCTGGGTGTCCCCTAGTGGCGAGGAATTCCACAGGCCCCGATCGGCCCCCGTCTGGGGCCGGCTCCGCCCTGAGCCCACCCTGTGACGGCCGGGGCTGACCCCGCCCCGCTCCCGCCCCGCTGTCCGATGCATGCAGGAGCTGCTCTCAGGGCCTGAGCCGCAGGGCGAGGAGGGGAAGGAGGGCGAGGAGGGGCAGTGGGGCTGGGGGGGGCCCTGGCCCCCGGTCGGTTGCCGCACATGGCTCTACAGGGGAGAAAAAGAAAAGAGGAGCGGGGGTTAAGCCGTGGCCTGGACCCTGTGGGGCAGGGATACCGGGCTGGCTGGGCCATGATGGTGGGGGAAGGGGATATCGTTGGTTTGTCCTGCCTCAGTTTCCCTCTGTGAGCTCCCCTCCCACTTCCCCCATCCATTTAGCCCTCCCTTTCCCCCCATGAGGCAAAGATCCCTCCCATGCTGCCCCACAGCCCCCCTCCCGATACAGGGTCCCCCCAGTGGTCTCCAGCCCCCAACCCCGATACAGGGCTCCCGCGCGCCCCCCCCCCTGCCCCGGCATCTTACCAGTGATGTTAAGCAGCTTGGGCAGGAAGCGGTTCCAGAAGGCGCAGACCTGGGCCCGGAGCCCCTGCCCCACAGCCAGGGGTCGCGGATTCAGTTGTACGTACTGCTGCTGCCTTGGGGTGTAGGGGGGCCAGCGCGCCCCCCTCTCTGACGGTTCGTTGGGGTCCCTGCCCAGGAGGGGGAGAGGGGTCACGCCTTGCTGGCTGGGGACCCCCAAACCCACCCGCCTGCCCCCCCAGTGTGGGGACTCCCCTCCACTGACTCACCTCTGGGCACCCCCAAACCCACCTACCGATCCCTCAGTGTGGGGACCCCCCTGTGGGGATCCCCAAACCCACCCAGCTACCTCCCAGTGTGGGGACATCCCTCCCCTGACTCACCCCTGGGGACCCCCAAACCCACCCAACTACCTCCCAGTCTGGGGACCCCCCAGAGATCTCCAAACCCACCGACCTGTCCCCCACTGCGGGGACCCCCCTCCAGGGGCCAAGTGCATCCACCTGCCCCCCCTGAGTGTGGGGACCCCTCTCCACAGACCTCCCCCCTCTCCAAGGGCCTCCCCAAGCCCCCCCAGCTTGAGGCCCTGCCCCCCAGATCTCCCCCCACTCACGCCCCCCCCGCCGGTACCCAGTGCGGGCGAAGTTGGCCCAGTAGCGCATCATCCGGCGGCTGAGCGTGGCCTCCTCGGCCGTGTAGTTGAGGCCGGGGTCGAGGGGCAGGCCGAAGACGAACTCGATCTCGTAGCCGTGGGGCACCCCCATCCAGGGGGGCCAGAGCATGTTGGAGGCCCGGTGGTCGAAGAGGTAGGTGTAGACCCGGGCGCCCCGCTCGGCCAGCCGCAGGGCGAAGTGGGTGACGGGGCAGATCACGTTGTGGTCCCCCACGATGTCGTCCATGGCCTCCCGGTTCTTCACCGGGTTGTCCTGGTCCAGCCAGTCGGTGTATTGCAGTACCACGGCTTCGGCCGCCAGCTCGTTGGCCTGGGGCACCCCCATGCGCACCCCGCCCAGGAAATCCTCCCGGCTGATCAGGCTCTCGTTGTCCTTGCTGAACCCGGGCACCCCGTAGACGAGGAAGTAGGTGCCCTCGTCCCGCACCACCCCCACCAGCGCCTGGGTCTCCTTGAAGCTGCCGGCGCCCGGCAGGGCCTCGGGCAGCTCGCCGGCGAAGTCCCCGTCGGCCACCGGCACGAAGGAGAAGCGGAAGACGCTCTGGTGGGGCAGCACCTGCCACTCCTGGTCGATCAGCTCCTGCGGGGTTTTGGCCCGCAGGCAGGCCACCAGCTCCGAGTCGTTGCCCGGCGGGCAGCCCACCAGCTTGGCCAGCTGGCCGGCCCGGCGCCGGCCCTCGGCCGGGGGCACGGTGGCCCAGGGGGCGTTGGGCACCCCGCTCTGCAGGATGGCGCGGCGGAAGAGCGGGCGGCTGCCGGGCGAGAGCAGGTGCATGCCCACCGAGGCGGCCCCGGCGCTCTCCCCGAAGATGGTCACCGCCTTGGGGTTGCCCCCGAAGAAATGCACGTTGCCCTGCACCCACTGCAGGGCCAGCCGCTGGTCCAGCAGCCCCACGTTGCCCGGCGCCTCCTGGCTGCCCGAGAGGGCCAGGAAGCCGAGGGCCCCCACCCGGTAGTTCATGGAGACCACCACGACCTGCTCGGCGTAGGCCAGGTAGCGCCCGTCGTAGACGTCCAGCGAGGCCGACCCGCTGTAGAAGCCGCCCCCGTAGATCCACACCAGCACGGTGGCGTTTCTGGGGCGCGGGGAGGGCGCCCAGAGGTTGAGGTACAGGCAGTCCTCGCTCATCTCCCGGTTGGGGTTCCACATCTCGGTGCCGGGGAAGCCGGGGTAGAGGGTGTCCACGTACTGGTAGCAGGCGTGGCGGTAGGCGCCGGCGTCCAGCACCCCGCCCCAGGCGGCCTTGGGCTCCGGCCGCCGGAAACGCAGCTCGCCCACGGGCGGCTCGGCGTAGGGGATGCCCAGGAAAGCGGAGACCTGGCCGGCGAGGACGGGCACCCGCAGGCCCCGCACCCGCCCCGCCCGGGTGCTGGCCACCAGCTCGTCAGCCCGGGTGCCGAGGGCCAGGGCGGCCCAGAGCAGGAGAACGGGGGCTGCGGCCATGGCACTGTCTGCGGGAGGAAGGGGAGAGACGGGGTGAGGGGGCAGCAGGAGACGTGTCCCCCCTCCCCAGCCCCCGGGCTCCCCGGCCAGAGACAGCCCCCCCACCCCTGGGACCCCGGCACGATGCAGCCAGGACGTCCCCGTCCCCCGAGTCCGCCCTGATAAGGGACCCACGGGGCCTATCCCTGCCCAGCAGCTCCAGCCACCTTATCAGCAGCATGCAGAGACTGGGGCACCGGGAGGGGCGGGGTGGTTAGAGCGGGGGCAGGGGGGGCGGGGGGCTGGGAGCCAGGATGCCTGGGTTCTCTCCCCGGCTCTGGGAGGGGAGTGGGGGCTGGTGGGTTAGAGGGGGGGGGGCTGGGAGCCAGGACTCCTGGGTTCTCTCCCCGGCTCTGGGAGGGGAGTGGGGGCTGGTGGGTTAGAGGGGGGGGGCTGGGAGCCAGGACTCCTGGGTTCTCTCCCTGGCTCTGGGAGGGGAGTGGGGGCTGGTGGGTTAGAGCAGGGGGGCTGGGAGCCCGGACGCCTGGGTTCTCTCCCCGGCTCTGGGAGGGGAGCGGGGGCTGGGGTTAGAGTGGGGGGGCTGGGAGCCAGGACTCCTGGGTTCTCTCCCTGGCTCTGGGAGGGGAGTGGGGGCTGGTGGGTTAGAGCGGGGGGGCTGGGAGCCCAGACGCCTGGGTTCTCTCCCCGGCTCTGGGAGGGGAGTGGGGGCTGGGGTTAGAGTGGGGGGGGCTGGGAGCCAGGACTCCTGGGTTCTCTCCCCGGCTCTGGGAGGGGAGTGGGGGCTGGGGTTAGAGCGGGGGGGGGCTGGGAGCCAGGACTCCTGGGTTCTCTCCCCGGCTCTGGGAGGGGAGTGGGGGGCTAGTGGGTTAGAGCAGGGGGGCTGGGAGCCCGGACGCCTGGGTTCTCTCCCCGGCTCTGGGAGGGGAGCGGGGGCTGGGGTTAGAGTGGGGGGGGCTGGGAGCCAGGACTCCTGGGTTCTCTCCCCGGCTCTGGGAGGGGAGTGGGGGCTGGGGTTAGAGCGGGGGGGGGCTGGGAGCCAGGACTCCTGGGTTCTCTCCCCGGCTCTGGGAGGGGAGTGGGGGCTGGGGTTAGAGCGGGGGGGGGCTGGGAGCCAGGACTCCTGGGTTCTCTCCCTGGCTCTGGGGTGTAGCGCTCGGGGCAGTAATCTTGGTGTCCGGGAGCAGTTCCTGGAGCGGGAGGGGCCGCTGGGGTGTGGTTAAAGCTGAGGCATCCATGGGCTGTAACCGGGGTAACCCGCCCTTAACACGACTCCCCACAGATCCCCCCCCAGCCCGGCCCCGGTATCGCTCCCCCGCCCCCCAGCCGACAGCCGGCTCATGTGTACGACCCCCCCGGCCCACCCCGCAACAGCCGGGAACCCATTGCACCCCGGTCACGACACGTGCCTGGGAAACACGCGTCACCCCAAGGACCCGGCCTGTCCCCCCATCCACAACGCACAACCCCCGCCGCCGCACACAGCCGTCACCCCCCCGCACCCCCCCGGAGTCACAACACCCCACGCCACCCCCCCCCCCCCAAAGCGCAGTGCAACAGCCAGCCCACCCACACACACAGAGTCAAACCACACCCGGACCCGCTCCGCCCGGACCCACACCTTGACCCCACAACCGCCCCATAACACAGTGCAACAGCCAGCCCACCCACACACACAGAGTCAAACCACACCCGGACCCGCTCCCGGACCCACACCTTGACCCCACAACCGCCCCATAACACAGCGCAACAGCCAGCCCACCCACACACACAGTCATAGCACACCCGGACCCGCTCCCGGACCCACACCTTGACCCCACAACCGCCCCATAACACAGCGCAACAGCCAGCCCACCCACACACACAGTCTCATACCACACCCGGACCCGCTCCCCCCGGACCCACACCTTGACCCCACAACCGCCCCATAACACAGCGCAACAGCCAGCCCACCCACACACACAGAGTCATACCACACCCGGACCCGCTCCCGGACCCACACGTCAGGCCCACAGCACACAACCACCCCCGGACCTGTCCCCGTGCCAAGGCAGAAATCACGCACTTGGTCACTGCAACCCCCCCCCGCCCCCGTCCTGACACATGGCTCTTACCCCCCCAATCCCACAACCTGCCCCCTAGGCCAGTGACACGCCAGCCCACACACTCATAACACACCTGTGCACAATCCCCCTTCCCTCGGCGTCACCGCCGCCTGCCTGGCTCTGAGAGCGGCCGGGGTTGGAGTCCACGGGGCGGGGAGGGGGGCGGCCGGAGCCGGAGGGAAACGGGCCCTTGATCCCAGCGCAGAGAGGGTGGCACCAAAAACCCCGGGGCATTGGCACCGTCTCCAGGGGAAACCGGATCCACCGAGCTGGGGCGTGGGGACAGACACAGAGCCCTGCCGGGGCCCCTCCCTCCCGACCCGCAGCCCCCCCCAGCCCTGCCCGTGCCCCTCCCTCCCGACCCACAGCCCCACTGCCAGCCTGGGGCTCCCCCCAGCCCTGCCCGTGCCCCTCCCTCCCGACCCACAGCCCCACTGCCAGCCTGGGGCTCCCCCCAGCCCTGCCCGTGCCCCTCCCTCCCGACCCACAGCCCCACTGCCAGCCTGGGGCTCCCCCCAGCCCTGCCGTGCCCCTCCCTCCCGACCCGCAGCCCCCCCAGCCCTGCCGGGGCCCCTCCCTCCCGACCCGCAGCCCCCCCCCAGCCCTGCCGTGCCCCTCCCTCCCGACCCGCAGCCCCCCCAGCCCTGCCGGGGCCCCTCCCTCCCGACCCGCAGCCCCCCCCAGCCCTGCCGTGCCCCTCCCTCCCGACCCGCAGCCCCCCCCAGCCCTGCCGGGGCCCCTCCCTCCCGACCCGCAGCCCCCCCCCCAGCCCTGCCGGGGCCCCTCCCTCCTGACCCGCAGCCCCTCCAGCCCTGCCGTGCCCCTCCCCTCCCGACCCACAGCCCCACTGCCAGCCTGGGGCTCCCCCCAGCCCTGCCCGTGCCCCTTCCTCCCGACCCGCAGCCCCCCCCAGCCCTGCCCGTGCCCCTCCCTCCCGACCCGCAGCCCCACTGCCAGCCCTGCCCGTGCCCCTCCCTCCCGACCCGCAGCCCCACTGCCAGCCCTGCCTGAATGGGTCGGACCAAGGGTCCATCCAGCCCAGTGTCCTGTCTGCCGACCGTGGTCAGGGCCAGGGGCCCCAGAGGGAATGGACTGAGCAGGGAATCACCAAGTGACCCCTCCCCTGTCGCCCATCCCCAGCTCCTGGCTGTCAGGAGCTTAGGGGCACCCAGGGCACGGGGCTGCATCCCTGGCTAATAGCCACTGCGGGACCTGGCCTCTGTGAACTTAGCTAATTCTCTTTTGAACCCTGTCATACTTTTGGCCGTCTCCACATCCCCTGGCAAGGAGTTCCCCAGGCTCACGGGGTGCTGTGTGACCAAGTGCTTCCTCTTGTTTTCTTTAAACCTGCTGCCTGGTGCTTGCATTGGGTGGCCCCTCGGGCATGTGCCAGGAGAAGGCGTCAACAACACTCCCTTACTCACATGATGAGATTTTATAGCCCTCAGTCACACTCCCCTTCGCCGTCTCTTTCCCAAGCTGAACAGTCCCCGTCTTATTCATCTCTCCTCGTACGGCCGCCGTTCTGCACCCCTCATCATTTCTGTTGCCCTTTTCTGAGCCTTTTCCAATCCCAACAGATCTTTTCGGAGACGGGGCCACCACATCAGCGCGCAGGACTCAACCCGCGGGCGTCCCACGGATTTAGAGAGAGGCAACAGGAGATTTTCTGTCTTATTCTCTCTCCCTTTCCTAACGATTCCCCACATTCTCTTCGCTTTTTTGACGGCCGCTGCCCATTGAGTGGATGTTTGCAGAGAACTATCCACAGTGACCCCAAGATCTCTCTCTTGAGTGGTCACAGCCCATTTAGACCCCATTATTGTATATGTACAGTTGGGATGATGTTTTCCAATGTGCATCACTTCGCATTTATCAACACTGAATTTCATCGGCCATTTTGTTGCCCAGTCGTCCAGTTTTGAGAGATCGCTTTGTAACTCTTCCCAGTCTGCCTGGGACTTAACTATCCTGAGTAGTTTTGTATCATCTGCAAATTTTGCCACCTCACTGTTGACCCCTTTTTCCAGATCATCTATGAATGTGTTGAATAGGACTGGGCCCAGTACAGACCCCTGGGGGACACCACTATTCACCTCTCTCCACTCTGAAAACTGACCATTTATACCTCCCCTTTGTTTCCTGTCTTTTACCCAGTCACTGATCGAGGAGGGGACCTTCCCTCTTATCCCCTAACAGCTGACTTTGCGTAAGAGCCTTTGGTGCGGGACCTTGTCAAAGGCTTTCTGAAAATCTAAGTACGCTACATCCACTGGATCCCCTTGTCCGCGTGCTTGTTGACCCCCTCCAGGAATTCTAGCAGATGGGTGAGGCAGGATTTCCCTTTGCTAAAACCATGTTGTCTCTTCCCCAACAAATTACGTTCATCTCCGTGTCGGATAATTCTGTTCTTTACTAGAGTTTCAGCCAGTTTGCCCGGTACTGAAGTCCAGCTCATCAGCCTGTAATTGCCGGGATCGCCTCTGGAGCCCTTTTTAACAATGGGCGTGACGTTAGCTCCCCTCCAGTCAGCTGGCCCGAAGCTGATTTAAAGGACAGGTGGCAGACGACAGTGAGTCATTCTGCAATTTCACATCTGAGTCCTTCCGAACTCTTGGGCGAATCCCATCTGGTCCTGACGACTTACTGCTGTTTAATTTATCCGTTGGGTCCCAAACCTCCTCGAATGACACCTCAATCTGGGACAGTTCCTCAGATCTGTCCCCTAAAAACACTGGCTCGGGTTTGGGAAACTCCCTCACATCCTCAGCCGTGCAGACCGATGCAAAGAATTCCTTTATTTCTCCGCCATGGCCTGGTTTCCCCTGCGGGCTCTCTCAGCACCTCGATGGGCCACTGGCCCCCCTGGGTGTTTGCCGGCCTCCCTGCTTCTGACGAACTCTGAATTTTTGGGGGGCGGGTTTGGGCCCCTTTAGCAAACGGCGTCTCGCTGCGCAGCTGGGCTCCGGCGGGCGGCTCAGGTGCCCAGGGCGCCCGTTT